AATTGATTTGCAGGGGAGCGAATGCAACACAATTGTTTGGCAATATCACCTAACCGAACTGAGCCTTGAGGCCCAGATTGATTCAATTTGAATCTAATTAAGTAATTAAGCTTTAAAGAATGTGGATCATCTTAATTTTCCTGGTGATTCGGTGAAACACATTTATCCCTAAGTGATCAAATTCAGCTGGAGCTTTACATCTTGTACACAAACACACCGCACACACACACACACACACACACACACACACACACACACACACACACACGGTTCAATGAAATGTGATACCCAATTACAATCAGTGCAAAATGTCTTCTAACTGCCTCACCATCCATTGATGCAGTGTTGTACAACCACGTTGAATTAAATACTCTTTAGATGAAGGTAATTTTGTTCAGGGTTTTGTTGATGCTGTTTAATGGAGGCGACGTTTTCAACAGTGTGATCCTTTTGGAGGATGCATGTGGTTTGAGGTACTTTTGATCTTCAAAGCATATTATTGAGAGTGAAATAATGTTAAGTCTAATCCATTTCATAAATATCTCTCTGTTCACAAAAGATAGATAGATAGAGCATTATAACCATTATTTTTAATGAAACATGCTAAATGTATTACAGTGTATATACAATTGAAATGTAAAAAGGGGAATCAAATAGCTCAATTCAAATTCAAGCTTACATCTTGAATGTTATTTCTCAAGAGTACTTCATAATGAAACTCAACAATAAGCTAATCAAATATGTCTGGAATTCTGTTGCATTGTGAGGTTGAGATGGGCTAAGGTGTTATCACCAGCTACTTGCTAACTCTTTGTGTCAGGCCCTTTTTCAAAACGGCCACTACACCCTACCCCTACCCACTACCCCTCCGTTTGCGCGTCCCACGGAGGGTCCGCCATATTAAGTCCGTCCCAAACGAACTAGCGGGGAGTGGTAGTAGGTTATAAAACCCTCCACCAGCGAGTGTGCACCGATGCCGACTTTTGGATCACATGCAACGCCTATTGTGTCCGGTCGTCATGGATGAAGCGACCTGTGAGTTCAAGTGTCTACAAACACTGCTCCAACTAAGATAGACATTTAATATCGTCATACAGACGTTAACAACTTCAAATGTGTATTGAGGATCAAATATATGTTTATTTATTGTAAAGCGTTTTATATTTACAGGGACTGTTACAAAAACAAAAGAATATTAAATCATGTTGCAGACAACTTTTCGCTGTTAATATATATTTCTTATTTTTCTACTTTTGATGTCTTTGTGAAATCTCAATTCAACAACAAAAAATACACTTTTTGCTGCTCTGATGTTCAACGATATTATCCTTGTCTTTGCATTAGTTTAGGACACCCTGTTCTAAAAATTACAATAAATTAACTTAAATTATAAATTACAATAAACAATGTAGGCTCAATCTAATAGTTTTGTTATAAGTCTACACTAATATAACTTACTAAAGAAGAATAAGAATAAGCTAGGATTCATAAATATTTTTACAGAATGCATTAGCTACAAAAAAAAGCCGTTCCCGCAAGATACCGCTGAGTAACCATGGTAACATAAAGTTCCTGTTTCCACCTGAGAGAGGGAAGTTTGTCCCAAAGCCTGCCGCTGTATTACTACCCTACACCTTGATGAAGCGGAGTGCATGTCATGTAGGGGAGTGTGTAGGGGTTGGTTTGAAAAAGGGCCTCAGCGTGTCTGCAGGAAGTGGGGTTGATCACTGCGGTGGTGGTCCATAGACTGTTTGGTAGTTGACTTATTGTATGAATTCGAAACCCCCTTTCTACATCTACAATCGGACGAAGCATGCAGTATGTACTGCATACTATGTTCAAAAGTTGTATGTAATATGACTGTTGGTCGGTGGTTATTTTTACAGTATTTTAAAAATATTTTTTCCCCCTGCTAAGCTGGCCGTTGCTGTCTGTCATTTTGATCTCTGACCTGGTGCTTTGAATTGTGGGAAACAGTACGCGAGGGAGACTAGTCTGAGGCAGGCTATAGATTTTTCCCAAATCAGTACACATCTGGTATATTTTCTGCATTCTGCGGATCTCATATTTGTTTTCAATATTGCATACTGCATTATGGCCATCCAGTATGTCCTACTATAGTAGGCGGTTTCAAAAACAGCCATTGGACTTCACCCATTGCTTTTTAGGCACAAGTTTGACATTATGGCTTATCTCGACTAAAAGTTTGATTTGCATGTATGCTGCTATACTGATTGACAGATCTATTCACTCAAGTAAGACTATAAGATACAGAATAAATTGAGCCCATAAACTCATGAGGAAAATTATTAATAAGTTCATGAATCCAGTGTGAATGGTCACTTTATCTTCTTCTTTCAAACAATCAAACTTCTTTTTGGAACCAGTGGTTCCCTACTGGTCATTAGAGAGAATTAAGAGTTAGACACTTTGACAATCGCCTGAAACCAAGAGACTGTTTACTTCTCCTGTTCACTATAGTTTATAGTATGTGTGAGAACAGTTGTGTGCTAGGATATAAAATACCTTAAACACAATAATAAGCCTTTGGAACTGAGGAGCTGTTAAGAGTTAGCTATTGTTCTTTGTGTGTTCATCACTACAAGTGTTCCGTGTAAGAGATTGCTTTAAATATTAAAACAAAAAAAAGACTTGAGTGAAAGATGACACACAAGGGGTCCTGGAACATTGGATACATTGACTATTTGATTAAAAAAAACAGAACATACTAAGGTCTTTACAAGTCATTTTGTAGTCCAGCTCACCAGAGAGCTACAGATACCATGCTATCCTCGGCTCTGATGCTGCAGATTGCACCATCGATTGCAGACATCTGAACAGATACTCCCCCTGAGGCACAACAGGATGAATAATTCAATGGGATGGTCTAGAATAAGATGAATACTGAGAGAGTGGGAGGAGAGGTGACGCTGGAAGTGACTATTTCGCCATCCAGCCCTGCTTTTGCAGATTTATGTTTAAAAAATCAACGGAGAGAAAATGAATGCGCTTAATGGTGTGGTGTTTTCTCTTCAGCAAAGAGTAACATGGTTTCCAATCTTGGGAACTAACGATTATATTCAACAGACAGGAGGTGCAGAGAGCACTGGTCGATATAACCCACTGAACTGAAAGAGTTGTTGGAGTTGATGTTTTGTGAGCAGGGAGACTCTGATTGAAAGTGCTGAAAATACAGCTTTTCTGAGCACACATAACTTTAGCTAACAGTAAGTATGAAAGGATTGCTACACAAGAGCATCCTTGAAAGAAATAAAAGCAAACCTGACCCTGAAGCAACTCAAAGGAACACATGTTCTCATAACAGTAATCCAGACCAAACACAGACGGATGCTGAAGTACTTTGTCAAAGTATAGCAAACAAATAACACTCTATCATTTTTTCAGAAAAGCTACTGTCAAGGCACATTTTCTTTAAAGGATAAAGACGGTTTGAGATACTGTATATCTCTAACTTTAACAAAGTAAAGAAAGAAAGGTACAAAGATGGAATGAAGCCGGGTTAGAAAAATGGTTGATTTATAGAAAGACAGATAATCCCAATACTGCACGATCCTCTTGAGTATTTCAGCAATTTATTCGTAATCTTTGTTAGGGTTTCTTTTATAAGGCATACATCTAAATACAGTATATTCGCTAAGTATCTGGCTAATGTTGCAGGTTTTTGCTTGTGCTGGATCAGGACAAATTGACAAGATACTAGCTGGGACTACAGGAAGTTACGAATACCACCAAATCGACACGGATCACTCGACCTAAACAAAGGCAGGCTAGCTGTTTTAAGCTAAGCTACCCAACGTCACTGTACTGTACACACATGAGAGTGGTAGCAATCTTTGTGCTATTGTTTGTGGATATCTACAGTATGTACTATGTGAACCGAGTACCTTCAGGTATTCATGATACACGGATGCTAGACATTTCTTTAATATTAAATAATAATGTTTTTCACCCTGTTCAGCTCCTGCAAGGATATTTTTGTATCTCTATGCTGGTACTCATGAGTAAAACGAGCTATCTTTAGGCCAAGGTTACTATTTTCTGCTCAGGAACTGTCAAACAGGGAACTCATGCAAGACAACTGATGTTAATACCATGTATTTTCTGCTGATATTGTCCCTAAAACTGTGATGTCTTGTCTGTTTGAGCATGTCAGGTAATGCTTGCAGACCCAGTCTCAGGCACAGTAATACAACATTAGACGAGCAATGAAAGCAGCGTTACTAGTTTGAATCACTGTCCTTATTGCACCTTATAGGGGAATTCAATTCTGTTGTTGCACAAATGACGGGCTTTGAAATTAATGTATCCATGGTTAACTGATTTATTCCATGAAATGTGATTACAATATGGGCAAACCACGGTTAGAGTCCCCATTCCCAGTGTGGTCACACCAAGTCCATTTTTAGTCTCATCCATTAACAATTAGCATTCACTCATTTGACAACAGAATCACCAGATTTCATTCTCCTGTATTCATGTCTCTTACCACACTAAAGCACTTGGTACTTTGGCTTTAATGTGGGAAAGAGATATATGCTTATGATTAACAAATCACAGTATGTTTGGCATTGCACTCTGAATATGGCTTCCAATCATTCCACTTTCAGATTTGGGGTTAAGCTTGCATCTTAAAAATTTCTGTTTACATTAGAATTGGGAAAAGAAAAGATAGAAGGTTCGGTGTCAGAAGAGACAATTTTGCTGATAAAATTTGAATTTTGGTTGGTTTTCAATCAATCCAAGCTAACCCCAACTCTGGTCTGCATGCAAAACAAACCATCCCAGGTAATCTCTCAGTATGAGCGATAGCCTGGCCTGCACTGTCAAATCCATACATGTGAATGCACGTTGAATGCATCTGTCTTAAGCCAACAAAGCTTCCCAACTCAGCCTCAGCAGCTTGCTGCACTCAGTCGCCCTCCGTCTCAAATACTGTCTTCTGTGCTTCCTCTCTGCTTGCCTACGCTGGCGCCCGCAAGGTCGTAATATTTTTCAAGGTATGTATGGATACACACCAGTTAAACTTTCCAAACGAGCTGCCGTCTTCCTGGTCATGTGGAATGTATTTGCTGTTTCTACCCGCTGGCGTGCTGACTGTCTGTAGCTCACTGACTGAACATGGTTGTCTAGAGGATGTCCGTCACTGCTTTCAGCCCCCTGCTGTAGGCTGGATAGCTGGCTAGCACCTCAGGAAAAAGGCAATCATACATGTAGCAGCATCCGTAGACTATCTGGCACCATTGCAACCAGTAAATGAGCTGCAATGTAAAGTTGGTGTCATATTATGACTGAATGAAAATGCTTGTTAGCATCCATTGATCGCCTCTCCTGTCACTGTGCAACTTAGAACACTCTTCATTTGATCCTTTAGGAACTCCTCTTTTTTATTTGATTGGCAGGTTATGCAGAATAAATCCAGGAAACAGTTTTGTTGGCATCTAAGATGATACATATTAGATAAGGGTTAATATTCAGGGCATTAAGGGTAACACAGATATTAGTTTGGTGAAAATGTAATCCTGACTGGCTGTTCAGGTCTATCTCTTTACCTTTGTTCATGTGGTGACAAAGGAGGGTGTCATCAGTGTAGAGGCATAGCAGTTACAAGGGATAACAGAAGCTGATACAGTATGAAAAATGAATTTGAACAGTCCTGATGGGCTTACTTTGGGTTTTAAATAAACCATGTTATAAAGCTTGATATTCAGTTTTCTAGGTTACCCAGTTGCTTTCTAGGTAACCTAGTTAAGATGCTGTTTTCGGTTAACCATGGAAAGCTTGTATTTTTCAGTCCAAGTATTTTATGATGCTCTTGCTCTTTACTGCTCTCTCTTTCAGCTCTTTGGTTTTCTTGCCATGTCCTAGATAAAGAAATGTTTCCCATATATCCATTACCACAAAAGGTTTTCTCATGTTGTATCCTGTATTTATTTTGTTCATTTAGAGAGAATTGTTGTCATCAAGTTTGAGTTAAGGATTTTTGAGAGAAAATGGTCAACGACAAACAAGTGATTATATTTGATTGTTGCAAATGAATTTAGATTAGATAGAACTACACTGTGGACATTAATTATATTTAGGATACCTGCAACCACACTTAGACCTCTAAATTCCCCTTTATTTATGTGCAAGGAGCTTCTGGTAAAAATCAATGTTCTTTATGATTAAAAAAAAAAAACATCTTTTGTTTGACAACTGTAGGTTGACCAGTTAAAATGGCATATGGTCCACAGACAACTGATTTATCAATGGATGTATTCTCAGTGTTCCTGGAATTTACAGTGAAATGGAATCTTTAAAGCTGCAATATTAATATTACTTTTTGATTACAACAATGGATTAATTTACTGTGGTCATTTAAGAGGGGTTGTACACAGTGTACACAGTTTCTATGAAAATGGTCACTTCACTGTGAATACCCCTTTACAGTAGCTTTGCAGACCTTTGCTGTTCTTTTGGCTCTTTGTTTTGATTTTATGACACTCAGCTTTTCTGTTTTGGTTCCTTGTCACAAGTCAAATGTAGTCACTTAAATAATATCTAATCCATTATGTTTAATTTCAGAAAAACTCCAAAATAGGTATTAATTGAACTAAGGCAGAATCTTGTTGCCTGCACTTTCAAGAAGCAAAGCAAGCATCCTGGGCACGAGAGAAAACAGTGATCTTATAAACACCAGTCTGATGACATGGCATTACACCAGAGCTAGCTAGCTAAATTAGTTATTTTTGGATAAGGTCAAGAATGTATTTTATTCAAATTACATGAGTTAGCATCGTGGAACCTAGACTTGGCAAGCTACCTAAATTACATATAACCACTTGGATAGTGTTAGGCCAATCAGCAGTGTGGATGAACATGTCAACTGAGGTTATCCAGCTAGCTGTAACTTTGATTCACAGGATGAACTTGGTGATTGGTGCTTTGTGATTTTAGCTAATAAAGTAATTTGCGCTTGCTGACACAATCAGTGGTGAGAATCTACTGTACATGAATTAGCTGAAATGATAATTGCAACCCAGTATTTTTGCTGAGCTAGCTTAAAACATACAAATATCACACCATGATTCAAATTGCCTGCAGCTGTTGGCCAAAGGTTTCTGCTCTGTTGGCCTTATGAAATGAAACTCAGCCAAAGCCGTTTGTAAAATAGGTTTACTTTACAGGTTTGTTGTTGCACTTCTTTTTTAAGGATTATAGATTGCATGGTACCTGTTGTTTCACAGCCATGCATAAGTTGGTTGATAAAATGACTGACTGAATGATTCTCTTTGGAAATAAAAATCGAAACAGAATCGAATATCAATCCTGACTCCATGATGAAATCCTCTTGGGGGAAAGAATTGTAACTCCAGACACAATAGGGAAAATATTGTATATTTATTTCATGTGATTGGTCAATTTATGTATTGAGGTCCTGCTCTGTTTAACCACTGTCTGGCCACACTTCAGGGGGACCGGGGGATGTTGGCTCAGTGCCAGCACTGCAGTGTTTTCCACTAGTCTGTCTGTCTGCCCAGATTATTTCTCAGTATCTGCTGTCTTCATATTGTCTGAAATAGAAACACAGCCTGTGTAGAAATGTGATATAGTTTCTTTCTTTTACTCTCTTGACACTGTCTCAATCTCCTTGCATCTGCTGACGAAACGTAATACATCAGATCCCATTCTGTTTACTTTGTAGGCATGTTACATTTAGGATTTTCTGAATACTAATTTATACAATACTTTTTAATTTATATGGCCCGTTGTCCCTCCAGACTTCCACTGTTCATTTTCTCTGGTTGCTGATCAATTGAGAAGCTGTGAAAAGAGCTTTGAGCTTCCAATCCAGAACATGATAAGGAAATGGCATGTGTGTGGATATGGCAGTGGGGAGGCAACTATTGCTCCTGGCATGCAATGCAACCTGCTACATGGAGACACTTCTGATACAACTGTGCAAACATGAAACACAGTTTTTCTATATTCATGAAATGAATGTAATTATTGAACTATTGTTTGAAAAGCTCTTGAACGGGCACCTGGACACTACATCCCTTTGAAGCAGTACTAACCTTAACAATCATATCAAAGTTAATTTCCATTTTCCAGATAAGATCCAGTGAGGTGTTTTGGTGTCCAAATGTATTTCTTGAAGGGTTAATAGAATGAGCCAAGTGCTGTACAGGGTCAAGAGTAGAAAAATGATGTGAAGGAAACAGGGGCTCTCCACGGATAAGGGGCAGAGGACAAATAGATAAAAAATTACCAGGTTATTTTCAAACAGAGTTCATGGGGAAAAGATGACAGTCTAACCTGTAAATCCAAATCACTCTGATACACTATGAAAATCCTTTATTTAACAGAGATGTGTCAATTCATTTCTTGACTCTTATCTGTGGGCGTGTCCAAGTTAGATGTGCTTTTAAAGTGAGGATTCCCAACCAGTATCGGTTGACAGATTTGAGAAGATTTTAAAGACAGATTACCAGCGTGTCCAGAGTCTGTCTAACACATGGCTGTTCCCAACACCAGTAAATAGAAAACACTGGGGAGGTGACTTTTCAGTGTACACAGTGATTGTTGGTCTGTGGTATTTGATGCGTGAAAACCTTAAAACCATTTGTGGCAGTGTAACCTCTGCGCCTGTGAGGGAGAGAAATGTTCAATCCTGTGATGAATCAGCCGGCACTACAGCCTGGTTTATGTTCTCGGGCTCTGCCTGATTTTTCAATGTAGTTACCATGGTTACCACTTCATTTGCACAGGCTTCTGAGGTGTGCTTTGGATTCTCTCTTTCTGCTGAACGTCACAGTGGGGTTTTTGCACCTTTCTCCTGTGCTCAGAGACTGTTGTACTAGAAAATGATTTTCAATTCATCTTATAATGAAAGCATAGTAAGGTGCCCTTGGAAGGTTTATACAATTGAAACATGTTACACCTGTTTTATCATGCCAGGAAAATAAAGACTCCGAAAGATACATTAATTGCTTGGATTTTTTAGTGGGAGTGGGAGAATAAAAAACACAAACTGTCAATATTTTACAAAATAAAGTACACACTGTTCCTGCTATATGTCCTTTTTGTCCACCCTGAGTCATAGGAAACTTACACAGATTGGACGTTTAATTTCCACTTTATCTATTTCTGACCATCTGGTGATTACATCGCTCACTTCTCTGCTTGATCGGCTTCAATCAGCTTGATTCCTACAGTAACACTGAAAGCTTGCCATTTTGTTGTTTTACACACTTTGGGAATTCATTGGTGACAAAGTAATCCATCTCCTCTTCAGTATTACTGGCTGTAGTTTCTCCTGAAGCTGCTTTCTGATTGTTTGGCAGGATGCAGATGTTGACTCTAACTTTGTTCTTGCCGCCATTCAATCCTTATCCTGAGTTGATTTAACTCATTTTTGTAGGCAGAGGGAACTTTGTTTTTAAGGTTTACCAGCTTGCAATGACTAACTGTGTACAATGGAATGGCCACAGATAATGGATGGTTGAATTCACCAACTTTGGCATATATTCAGTCATCTTTGGATTGTTGTTGATTTTTAAATCCTAAGAAAAAGACATAAAGTTTACTTCTAATTCATGTATTTGGTGCTGCACATATCCTGACTCCTGTCCACAAAGAGTGAATCATTTTGTTTCAGTGGGAGAGTTACAAATAATCTAAAACTACTGACACAATGCTTGTATTTTGCTTCACTTGACCATCTGCCCACTGTAGGAGAAAACAAGTAACATCTTGTAGAATTACAGCTTTTGCCACATTTGTGTTTCTTACACTGTTCCGCGTTAAATTTATCACCTTGATTTCTCCATTCTTTGGAAACATGTTGAGTAAAAAATATAAAGGCCAAAACATGAAGAAAAGCTCTCCATTGCAATACTTTAAATGCTTAATACATAGCTAACCCTTTCTCCTCCTCCTCTTTTCTTTCCTTTTACAGACTATGCAAGCGGCGAGATGCCCGACAGATGAGCTGTCACTGACTAATTGTGCCGTGGTGAGCGAGAAGGATCTGCAGTCAGGACAGTGAGTGTTCATTATTGCAGAGTCATCTTTGAGTTAATCCATTTGGGAACACAGCCAGGCATCTCTGCAGTCATCCTCTCATCCATCCAACCACCCACCCACTTTATCATCCAACATGTCATCAATCATACATCCAGAAGGTCGCAGTCAATCTTATCAGCCTGTATAAGCTGTGATCTGTTTGATAATTCGATTTGCAGGCATACTCAACAAGGATAAAATTATGATTTTTGATCAAATCTGTAGTATCAGCTGCTTTTCTTTCTTACAGGAAAATTAAAAATGTCTATCCTACACACTTAAAGGAGATCTATTATGCTGATCCATTGTTAGATACATATATATAATGTTATGATGTTGGATGTCCATACTAAACCTCTGCAAAGTTTTTTTAAATAGAAGATACACAGTTGTTGTCATAATCCCTGGGCGTGGTTTCCCGCTGTTCTGAACAAAGTGTGATGACAACAACCTTTGAGACGCGTTTCTTAATTAGTTTGAAATAAGAATATAAGTCCTGTTACTACTGTATGTTCAGTATGTGCTGCTTCATACCCTTTCCTTGTGGTCCTAAGTCACATAAATAAAGTAAAATAATGTTAAATTAAATATAAATTAACACTAATTCAAACCGGAAGCTCTTGTGAGCCTTTTGAGATGACATAGGTGAATAAGGTTTGTGCAGATTTATTAATCTTTGTTAATCATAGGATTTTAGGAAAAAAAAAATGTTCTACAAGACGCCACTTTAGCTGAGTTGGCGTAGCTTGCTTTGGGGTGAAGGGGCTCTAGATTCCCCTCTGACAATCAGCCGTTTCCTGCATGTTTACCCATTCGCTCCTCTAAATAAATAAACTAACTCTCGTGGTTCTGTCATCAAATCTAGACATGAAACAGCCAAGCATCTCTGCAATCATTCTCTCATCCATCCAACCACACACTTACCTTATCACCCACTTTGTCATCAATCATAGAGCCAAAGAAAGAAAGTCATTTTCTGCTATTTTTAACCTTTGCATCACCAGGGCAAGCTGTAAGCTGCAAAGCACATTGATTTCATTGAATGTCTACATTGTGTTGTTTCCTTGTCAGACAGTTTTTGTGTCACTGTAAAAATAAGAGCCTTTTGCACACTGCAGCATGATAAGCATTCAGAAACGTAAAATCCTCTGGGTGCTTTTATCTCTTTGTGTGGATACAAAAATATAAATGAAAAAAAACCAAGAGATGTGATTGACCTGCTGACAGACAAATGTTATCAGAAGGATTGCTCCATGCTCACTGCAGCACCATGTGTGCATGTACAGAAGTATTCTTGCAAACTAAGGCTCATTAAACAACGTGAACACATTTGAAAAATGACGGTGCTTAAAATAAATGTGTGACCTGAGAAAGTCCTCCTCTTCTACTGCCATGGCAACTGCAACCTTGTCTTTATCATTCAGAACCACCGAGCAGTGATGTAGGTTTTTTGTCTGTTAGAATGACACCAAACGGATATTCTAGTTTTATCACTTTTCATAGCCATGAGTGGATGCTGAAAATCATATTCTGCTAAAAGATGTTATCCAGTTATAGCTTAAAGAATCATCCTCAGTGGCCTCTACCTGCAAGGTCTGAATTTTTGAACTGAAGGAGCTAGCGGTGGAATACATTCCAAAAGCATCAACCTTTCAGAGATGGGTTTTTGTTCTGTGTGAAGCAGACTGCAACAAACCCTCTTTACAAGCTCAGTATAAAACCGCTTCACTTACAGAATAGAAGATACTGGTATCCTGGTAACTGTCAAGTATCAACCAATTAAATCTGCCCCGCAAATCCTCGAGTAAAAGACCAATACATTGTGCTGCAGGGTCCGTAAACACACCTCACCTCCTGAGACATGACCTGGAGTAGAGTAGATAAATCTATGCTAAATCTGAAAGGTACCTCAGTTTTGTTTCATCAGGCAGCGATCGGCAATGAACAGACAGACAAAGAACATCAGATAACTAACTGATCCATAAAGCTCATCAATAGGTGGTGGAGACAAATAAAGAGCAAAGCTGAGACCTATTATTGGGCTTTTATTTGGCAAGGGGTTGTCAGCAAAGCACTAATTAAATGAAAACATTGCTTCATGTTGGCTGGATCAAAAAGGCAATTATCTGCTAAAACGCAAGCTAAAGGATAAAAAGTCTGTTATCGCAGCTTTTATCCCTTTAGAGTAATAAGAAAGAATAGTTAGAACATGTGAGGTAGGGGCGCTGGTGGCGCAGTGGTTAGTGCCCATGTATGGAGGCTATAGTCCTCCAAGCGGGCGGCCCAGGTTCGAGTCCCACGTGTGGCTCCTTTTCCACGTGTCAGGCCCAAAAAGCCGCCAAAAAAAGAATATATAAGGTAGTTATATTTAAAGATGAATTGGTTTTAGCAAAAGTTCCAAAGATTGGACATAGTCATCACGTCAATGTCCCTCGTATGCTAAAAAACAAACAAACAAACATTATAACCAGGGTTCAATTGTCTCCTCTCTCTCTCTCTCTCTCTCTCTCTCTCTTCAGAAATGTGACTGTGAAGACCACACCCAACCACAAGTTCGTGTTTACAGTAAAGACCCACCACACTGTGGCACCTGGAAGCATCGCCTTCAGCCTTCCGCAGGTACACACACACACACACACACACACACACACACACACACACACATACAAACACTTGCACACACATTGATACTTATATTTGTCTTTATGGTGCTGAGTTTTTCCTAATCTGTCCTCCCCCTATCTAGAGGAAATGGGCCGGCCTCTCCATTGGCCAAGAGGTGGAAGGTAAATAATCATTTTGATCGCTGTGAATGATCGTTTATACAACAGAACATGGCAGGCTCTTTTGTTGTAATGGACTTTTTTTTTAAAAAAAAGCCTGTCTGTCTTTCAGTGGCCAACTACAACTTTGATAAGTCCAAACAGTGCATCGGCTCGATGACAATCGAAATCGACTTCTTGCAAAAGAAGAGCACTGACACCTCCCCCTACGACTCCGACAAGATGGCTGCTGAGTTTATCCAACAGTTCAACAACCAGGCTTTCTCTGTTACCCAGCAGGTTCATATTCACGTCACATATACTCACACATCTACACATATTAATACAAAGATGGGACACAATCATACATGATAGTGTATATTTTGCCCTCTGGTGTATATGTGTTTTAACATCCTCTTGCTTTTTCTCGCTTTCTCAGCTGGTGTTTAGCTTCTGTGACAAGTTGTTTGGCCTGATGGTGAAGGATATCGAGGCCATGGACGCCAGCATCCTCAAAGGAGAACCAGCTTCTGGGAAGAAACAAAAGGTACCTGGTACCTTGTTATTTATGTGGTTTGAGTGATTTATGATACAAACCTTTATAAGCAAGATCTCAGTTTGTAATAAAACCACTTTCTCTAATCGTGATTTTTTTATCAGATAAGTTCACCTGTCCTGTTCACAACAGTACATCTGTCATACAACGAAACCCCTCCTGACAAACGTGATGATGAACCTTTTCATTGAAATAGTAAAGGTTCCAAGAGAATCTGGGTTTGCCATTCACTCCTGCTACGTCATGTCTCCTGATGAATAATTCATTTCACTTTTGAATAACATTTTCAACCTTATATATGCACGTCTCTGTGGTAAAGAGGAGTGTCCCTAGCCTCAATTAATTGCATTAGGTTCATTATTTATTCATGCACATTAAATATGGTGGCCCCTGATGGACACATTCAGCCGCAGATATGCAAATGTTGAGAAAAACACACTTCAGATTCAAAAACTCTTCAACGCGGATAACACATTTTTGGAATACTTAGAACAACAGAAGTAAAGAACAAAACCAGAATTTGATCTCAGTCGGCGGGGAAATAAATTCTTTGTTTTGTGTTGTTTAAGACGTACTACATGTATGTTTATTTGAATTTTGATAGTTTCCACATTTTCTCATGCATTTAATCAATGTTGGTTCTTTTACCCCACAGTGCATTATTATTCCACAGATCGATGAGATACCTTTTCCAGCTGGTTTTGAGCAGACTTACTGTAGGCTAACATTTCTAAATGATGAGACGCTCACAGGAACACACGGTGAAGCATTTGTGTTTCAATCAACTCTTTTATCTCTGACAGATTGATGTTGGGCTGATGGTGGGAAACAGCCAGGTGGTTTTTGAGAAGGCTGAAAGTTCATCCCTCACACTAGTCGGTATGTTCCTAATTTGTTACTACAGGGGGATGAAATATTTCCCCAAACTTTGCTGACCTCAGGATAGATCAAATGAAGAAGAATATTTAACTTAATTAGGGGGGGGGAGTCAACATGGTCAGACCATTTTCTATTATTTTATTTTGGATGATTTTATAGAAATAGGAAAAGTGATATATTTCCATTTTGTTTATGCATCAAAAAACTCAAATAGGAGGGCCAACATAAGAGTCCATTTTCTATTTCCTCCACAGGATGGCAGTAACATTAGAGTAATTGTAAAGGACTCCACTCCCTTTTTCTACCAAGGAAGAGAGAGACGTCCAAATTCCAGTTCACTTATTAGTTATGGTTTTACAAACATAATTGAATTACCAGAAAAGACCTCCATCCGTTACATCAAATAACATCTTCAAACGTGGTTTATGTCTAGAACTCTCTTTACCAAATAATCCACTTCATCTTCATGTTGTAGCATCACTAAAATAAATACATGTGTGAATTTTGGCCACATAATTTTTGCTTTGTTTTTATTTATTTCTTTTTAAAGGTAAGGCAAAAACTAAGGAGGCACGACAGACAATCATCAACCCAGACTGGAACTTTGAGAAGATGGGAATTGGAGGTCTGGACAAGGAGTTCTCCGACATTTTCCGCAGAGCCTTTGCTTCCCGAGTGTTTCCCCCTGACATTGTGGAGCAGATGGGTGAGAAATACTCAGTTTTATTATTCTTATATTTACCTTTACATACCTGATCACCTTGTTTTATTGTAGATTTTTTTACTCCATATCCACTATCATTTAGTCGTCTATCCGCAACTTGTCACAAGTCTTTGCTTTTCTCTGCATGAGTGGCGTACATGTAATACACTTTCTTTTGATGTGGGGTTTTCTCTAAATCAACAAACGTTTGGGTTTGCTGGACGTACATGGACAATAAAATTGTTCATAGTATATTCCCACATGCAGAAAAACTCAATATACAGTTATTAAGTGTGCGTCGACGCGCAACAGCAGTTTTTTCTTCCATAAATGTATGAACACATACCCAGTTTCTTACACACACAAAGACAATATCATGCTATTTTTCTGATTTTCTGATAAGGCTCTGAGAACATAATGCAATAATATAACTTAACATCTAAACATCTTCCCCCTTGCATTCATTTTCCACTATTCTCTTCTGCCTCAACGCTGTTTTTTCATCTGAATTCTTTATTTAATTATTTCACCCCTCCTGTGCCACATCTGACTGTTGTGTCCTTCCATTTCTTGTCTCTCTCTCTCTTCCCTTCTGTCTTTTTCGTCTTTCTTTGTTCTAGGGTGTAAGCACGTGAAGGGTATTTTGCTGTTTGGGCCGCCAGGCTGTGGTAAAACACTGATGGCCAGGCAGATCGGCAAGATGCTGAATGCCCGGGAGCCGAAGATCGTCAACGGCCCTGAGATCCTCAACAAGTATGTAGGAGAGTCTGAGGCCAACATCCGCAAACTGTTCGCTGACGCAGAGGACGAGCAGAAAAGGGTGAGGCTGCTCAGTGTCCTTAGCTTCATCTGTGCTTGTTTTTAAAAAAAGATAGAAAAGGGGAATAATTACCTTTTAATAAAATGTTTCCAGTTGGGAGCCAACAGCGGCCTTCATATCCTCATCTTTGATGAGCTGGATGCCATCTGCAAGCAGAGAGGAACAGGCGCCAGCAGCACTGGCGTGCATGACACTGTGGTCAACCAGCTGCTGTCTAAGATCGACGGCGTGGAGCAGCTCAACAACATCCTGGTTATCGGTCAGTAGCATCAGAGGGAACAGATTCACTGATACATCTCACATTAGAGTCAACTGGAATACTTTCATCCAATGAGTGAGCAGACGAGAGCTCTGTAGAATTCTGAAATTTTCAACAGTCATCATTTGTAAGGGATGACACTGCCACCACTCAGTGCTCACATGCACAGTGAACGGCTGCTTTGTAGTTGTCCTTTGTGATAGAAAAAGTTGCAGTCAATCATTCCATGATGATTGTAATGCTGCTAAAGACAGAGCTGTCAATCAACAACGACAAATCCAACAATGAGAGAACCAGAAGTTAACACCCGCCCTCTAGAAGGGTTCAACATGTGACAAAGGTAGAAGTTCCAGATACCCAATATTGTGTGATTTGTTGTTTTTAGTGTCCAAAAATTGAAATAAAAATAAAGAACAGATGTTAACATCATAGTTAACAAACATTTTGATCGGCCTCATGAGATTTAAGAACTGCAGCGACAAAAACCTTCTAACGGTACAATCTTTTGGTTTTGGCTAAATTTTGTTAACATAAAGATACACTGAGTACAGATGTCAACACATCATGTATATTTGTTTCTTCAGAGATGCCTTCCCACTGGTTATTGTAATGCAGGGACATCATATCATCGATGAGTTCTAGCTTTCTTCAGTTACATTTTGCTTTTTCTTTATCTCCAGGTATGACAAACAGGCCTGACTTGATAGACGACGCCCTGATGAGGCCTGGCAGGTTTGAGGTCAAGATGGAAATTGGTGAGCAATTTTAGACCTTCTTTTGTTCTCTTTTTTAATTTATGTTCTCCATTCTTTGGTTTATTTCTTTTTCTTTCTTATCTTTTACAAAATCCTTGAATTCTGTATTTCTTTGAATATATTGGATTACTTTATTTTTGTAAATCTTAAACAACCATAAATGTATTCTTGTTTATTCTTACTCTGTTTATTCTCTGATGACAGCTTGAGGTGTATGAAAACATTATATGTCGTTAAACTGACTTTAATATGAGATGAAAAATGTACAAAAACAAACATTCATGTTAGCACTCCATCCTGCCCACTAAACTCTGCCAATGAAAGGCGTCTGATCCAACCTTCACAACAGCACCCAAAGAAGCTAACTAGTCTCCTCTGTTGCCTCCTGGTGGTGGAACCAACTTTCAAACTCCATTCGATCTGCAGAGTCCCTTTGCACCTTTAAGGAAAAGCTAAACACCCAGCTCTTTTCATGAATACCTACAGCCTTAATGATGATGATGACGATGATTTTGATATTATTGATGATGATGATGATGACGATGGTTTTGTTTGATAGCAACGATTTTAAAAGGGTTTCCATGCTGATGCTAGAACTTTGTTCAGTGCTTTGTCTCTGTGCATTGCTTGTGTTGTACTTACTCTCTGATGTACGTCCCTTTGGATAAAAGCGTCTGCTAAATGAATATTTTCCCTTTGACATGTTTATTACAGCTTTTGCTATTTCATTTCTTTACGTATTTCCCTCTCTCCTTTTAACTCTTCTTCTCATACACACCCCTGTGACTCTTTTCTTCTTTCTCTGTCCCTTGCTGCTTTATTGTCTAACCTCCAGGTCTGCCTGACGAGAAGGGCCGTGTGCAGATCTTGAACATTCACACCAACAAGATGCGAAGCTTTGACCTGCTCGCTCAGGATGTCGACATAAAGGAGCTGGCTGCTGAGACCAAGAACTACAGCGGTGCTGAGCTGGAGGGGCTGGTCAGGGCTGCTCAGTCCACTGCTATGAACCGACATATCAAGGTCAATTGACACATTCACATACTCAGAGCTGAACAGAAGGGATTAGTAGATGTGCGACTGTGGGAATGAGCAGCAAAAAGCAATGTGTACAACTAATAACTCCTATAAATCAAGAAGTGGCTCTTCAGTTAGAAAAGTTTGCAAGTTGGTCTTGCACGTGATCTTATTCTTTTGAACTGGTTTACAACTCTTTCGTACCATCGAGCTGAGCTAAAGAATTGCATTGTTCACGGTTGTAGCAGACCTTAATTGCTATACACAGCGTGGTATTACTATCACTGGAATTCTCTCAACTTGACCAATTTGTGTTGAAAACCTGCAGATACAGACAAAAAACTTTTCAAAATAAAAAGACTTAAAGGAGCAATATGTAAGATATATACTGAATTAAATCATAAAATTACCTTACTATATCATCAGACATTAAGGAAACATGCTATGTGGAAGTGCTGGCTTCTCTGACAACAGTGCACCATCCAGTATGTCCTCCTTCTAACTTTAGATTTCGGTCCTGAATGGTCTCTATTTGTGAATACCTGGTGCATATACATCCAAGGCTCTAATATTTTCTTTTCCAGCTTCCTGCTGCCCCTTTATTGCCCACTTATTATTACAGCTTTTGTTGTTTCTTACTTTGAAGCTCTTTCCAGCCAGTTAAAACAGTTTACTGTGGACAGTGAGTTAACTAGAGTTCATATGTGTAACTGGCTGAATGATCCTTTTCCTGAGTAGATTTTTTGCTTATTTGTTTGTGTTCATTCTTTTCCAGGCAACATCTACAGTGGAAGTGGACATGGAGAAGGCTGAGAAGCTGCGGGTTACCAGAAACGACTTCATGGGATCCCTGAACAATGACATCAAACCTGTATGTACCACGCCTTTCTTACATTCACTGTACTGCAGAACACAGCGTTACAATCCTCTGATGCCCTCCTCGTTTTATTCAGGCATTTGGTACAAATGCAGAAGACTACTCCAGCTACATCATGAACGGTATCATCAAATGGGGCGATCCCGTCTCTCATGTCCTGGATGACGGAGAGCTGCTGGTGCAGCAGACCAAAAACAGTGATCGCACACCACTGGTGGCGGTGTTATTGGAAGGTATTAAGTTATATATACAGTAAAACTACTGTGAAGTGCATTAAACTATCATGAAAAATACACTTGATCCACTATTTAGACGAATATGGTGTATAACTGAATAAATGGTGGTGTTTTCATGTCTGACTGTCAGCAAGTTTAATCCAGTTTCTTGGTTTTTCTTTATGTCCCTGATATTATCATCATCATATTCCAGATCATAAGATCAATCCAAAGATGCACACCATTCCAATAATGTGTGTGTTAATCTTATACATGCCATACTACAGAGTCTTGCAATGAAACAAAAAAAAAGCTGCACAATGCAATGAGAAAAAAGTCCTTTTGTTAAATTGCGTTCAAATACAGTGAACTTGCTCATTGGCACTAAGTGACTCGAGGCACCCAAACTTATACCCAGCTTCAGCTTCACTCATACACATACATACCCAAGCAGACTGTAAATCTTACCTTGTCATACGTCCCACAGGTCCACCCCACAGTGGGAAGACAGCCTTGGCAGCACAGATTGCAGAGGACTCAGAGTTCCCATTCATTAAGATCTGCTCTCCAGACAAGATGATTGGACACTCCGAGATCTCCAAGTGCCAGGCAATCAAAAAGGTAAAGAAAAAAAAAAAAAAAAGGGTGAAGTGACAGCTAATGGAATTAATTTATTCTATTCAAGCACTCCTTCCTTTTTACACGGAATCCTCCCTTTGTTGTTTCCGTCCATTAATTCCTTCCTGCCTTTATTTCCCTGAAACATTTCTTGCTTCGTTTGTCCCTCCCCCTTTTTTAAAGGTCTTTGATGATGCGTACAAGTCCCAGCTCAGCTGTGTGGTGGTGGATGACATTGAGCGTCTGCTGGATTATGTCCCCATCGGGCCTCGTTTCTCCAACCTGGTCCTCCAGGCCCTGCTGGTGCTGCTGAAAAAGGCTCCACCAAAGGTCAGGTTTGATTAACAATGTTACTATAAAGCACAAAATACCCACACTAACAATGAATTAAACATACAGCCAAGTGTTTTCTGTGATTTATCTCACGCCTTTGGGTGTAGAACTCAACTGTAAAAAAAAAAAAAAAAAATTACAACAATTAAAGACAAAGAAGTAATGTCAAATTCCACATCTATTTCACTCATCAAAGCCTGTTATTGCTTTTTGGGAGTTGAACTGCTTCTGTTTGGAGGATGACGATCCTGAGAAGATATAACACCAGCGCTCCCATTAAATATCTATATACTTCATTTTATTGGTTTTTAATATAATGCTGTTTGCCTTTTTGCAGAGAAAAAAAAATCCATTCCACTGTCTTAACAGTTAGAGGACAGGAGCGATTAGACTCAACTTATTATAAAGACTGTAAACACAGAAAGAGCTAGCTCTGATAAATATATAAAAAAACTGAAATTCCAAAATGACATAAACAGAGGTAGCCCAGCTGTTTCCCATGTTTTCACTCATAATGCTTAAGGCTCTTGTCTATCAATTATTACCCAGATTATTCTTTTGCTATCAAGTCTGTTGCAAAGTGTTTTCATTTATTGTTTCTGTGCTCATTTTATGCTGCATCAAGAAATACTGTAATTTCTCTGAATCTTTCTCTGAATATTGGAATCAGAGCTTAACATGTTATCATCAAATGCTGGAGATGTGTTTTTATTCATCTTATGGTTACCTAATTAAACAAGGAGTCATTTAACGTGTCCTGCAGGGTCGCAAGCTGCTCATTATCGGCACCACCAGCAGGAAGGATGTGCTACAGGAGATGGAGATGTTGGACGCCTTCAGCACCACCATCCACGTTCCTAACATCTCTACTGGGGAGCAGCTAGTCGACGCTTTAGAGGTACACACACACACACACACACACACACACACACACACACACACACACACACACACACACACACACACACACACAGACACTGACACACACAGCCACTTAATTGGTTGCTTGAAGGTAAAGATGTGAATAATGTGCACTGAACACATACATACACACACACACACACACACACACACACACACACACACACGGCATTGTCAGATTTAACTCCATAGCCTTGTTGTATGCAGGAAAATAAAAACATTCTGACTGTAATTACTATGCCCTTAATTAAAAGGATGATTTCACCCGCAGACCTCTCTAATGCCTGTCGTTGTTTCTGTAGCTACTGGGGAGCTTCTCAGACAAAGAGCGGGCTAGCATCGCACAACAGCTCAAAGGGAAGAGAGTCTGGATCGGCATCAAGAAGCTCCTGGTGCTCATCGAGATGTCGCTACAGGTAAACAAGGCTCACCGACGCATTACATGAAAGAAACGACTCAGAAAAGCGCCTGACATCAGCTGTTATGTGACACACTGGACACACTGGTTGTTGTTGCCATATATCAGAGAATTTTCATAACTGATGAAGATACACATACAAAAGTAAAGATAACAGGAATTCACATGGTCAAAAGGAATATATATGTTTTACACAATCCTATTGGTACTTAATTTACCTAACTGTATGTAACATTTAAACCATGTTTCTCTGAAAATAAACTTACTCCTCCCAGCTTGTTATTCAATATGAAATTGATTGTAAAAAAAAGGCATAGACATAGAACCTCATGTTTAGGCTGCTCCTCCATTTTAACAACTGAGAAATGTCGTAATTTGAAAGGCAACAGCATGACTGTTATATGTGCATGAGTAAGAACAAACCAGTTTCTGACCCATAACAATAACCAATAAAACTGCATGCAGTTATCTGCAAAATTAGCCTTTAAACATTTATTCAAATAGTCACATTGGCATCATCACAATAGCATTACATATTTCTCTACAGCTGCAACGTGCCTGTAGAATAACATTTTTCACATATAAGCCTCATCTGAGGGAGGCAGGTTGTTTCAAAAAGGACACTGGATTGTGAGCAAGTGGACAAGGATATTGGCACTATTTGTGGGTTATTGGCTTCTACCAGATGATATTAAAACTCTTTGTTTCTCCTCTGCCTTTTTCGCTCTCTCCAGATGGACGAGACCTACAGAGTGACCAAGTTCCTGTCTCTGCTCAGAGACGAGGGGGCGTGAGTACAAAGCTCTGCACCAATCAATTCCCTTTCATCGCTTGTCTATACATGAGCCTTAACCCTTTTCTTTTGTTTTCATTTCTGCATTTTTATGTTTGCGCTCTTATTACCTGGCCAGCTTGTTTTCTTCAGACCATTTTTTGTAGGCTATATAAACACGTACTGTGTATATGAATTTAAACATACATTATTTACAGAACTAATGTGCAGATACTTGCAACATGGCTCAGTAATGTTACTCAGTAATAGGTATTTATTCTGGTGGAAGCAGATGTGGCTAACAGAAAATGCAGAAAATGCAGCAGAAAATGCTACCAATCAGTGGCCTCTTCTCACTAACCGTTGACTTAAATGGATTTATTTTGCAATCACCAGGTTGAATGAAGGCGATCAAATCCGAATTTAAGCCGTTGGTCGCTCTTGCTGTGCATGGGTAAGGTCAACAGCAAAGCATCAAGACAAGTATGAAGATTAGGCTTACTGAACCTGTAGCTTACCAGTTAGCAATTAGTTTAGCATCCTTTTTTTTTTTAATGGCTAGAAGTTTAATTACGGTAAAAGATTTTTATAAATGTTATATTTTGTTTATTTATTACATGATATATTCAATTGTATCATGTCAGCAATTAAATTGTGAGCTCGGCTATGTAACTACAGGCTATGTAACTGCTGAGGGAGAGAAGTCTTCCAATTAGTTCAGTTATATCTATGTAATGTTTGCTAACTTAAGCGCTGACGGTCTATAACAGAAATCGTTGTCTTTTCTTCAACATCAAATCAAATATTTTTTAAGAAAATCATGTTTTATGAAGTTACATAGCCTCGCCCAACAAGTCCATAACCTTCCCCACGCTCTTCCATCTCACATCTCATCCATTATCAAAATGAACATTTAAATGGAATTGTGAAATGTTGTATCATAATTGTGTCATAGTATTAGCCTGCCCTTACAGCTGACGTTGTGTTAGATTTGACTTTTTAGCTGTGACATGAAAATCCAATGCTGCATGTATTGAATTGGTTAGCATTAGCATTAGAGTTATTTTGTTAGCATTAGTGACTCTTATTAGTGTTCTATGTAGCTTTTACAGTTGTAGTTTCTAGTTTAGTCAGGTCTAGGTTAGCTAGGTCAGGTTTCAATTATTTACTAAAATGATATCAATGCATGACTCAATGTAAATTGAAGCACAAGTTGCTGCAAAGAGCTGACTTCTTACATCCGTTAATTACTAAGTATAGCAGTTTCATCGTAAACTGAACTTACTGACACAATAATTAGCTTGCATGCATTTGACTGATTACGATTTCAGAGTAAAATAGATCATATTAAAAGGGGTTGAAATATTGACCTGAAACTATAAAACTTATCACACAATCCAAAACATTGCAGAGGAGAGAGACATCTGCACTAGCGGGCAGATGTCCCTGGATCTGTGGAGAAACACAGGATGGAACTTTAAAAAGCTCTCTAGAATTGTGTGAAATGGGTAAACTTTATGATATGTGAATAATCTTTAATATATTTAAACCAAATCATCCGATAAACATGCTAAACCCCTAAATGACCAAACACATTTCTGTTGTTAGTTTATATGATGTTTTTGTTCATCTTTGACTTCTCAAATGCTATTTATAAGTAAATATTTCCCTTTGCAAACGTGCACAGATGGATGAAATACATACAATTCATACAGAGATCTACATGATGTATAATCGGGGCCCCATTGCGTCTTGTTGACAAAGATGCTAACTTTAAATTGAATTGCAAAAGAATACATACATTAAAGGTCACATATTGTGCAGAATACACTTTACCATGTATTTTAACACTACTATGTGTCCTTAGTCTAACTACCAACCCCCAATTATAAGAAAAGTCTGTCCGTCTTTTGCCTGCTCCACTTTTCAGAAAATGTATTCAGGGTAGCTTTGGTGATAATTTAACTAGGCTATTTGTACATTTTCCCTTTATGACATCACAAAGGGCAGTAACGCCTCCCCCCATATAATCATATAACTTTCATGTATAACCCCAAAACAAACAGTTGTGGATTGTCCTCAAGGCAATCCATAGAAAAATGAAATTTTAGTATGCCCCTCATGTTTAATGATTGATTTAAAACAGACATAAAATTAATTCTTATTTTTTAACAAATAGCCAGTGCAACCTTGTAGATGAGGAGAATCAGGCTTTAGGCCTTCACAATGTTGTTAATAATTTGTGATGGTGTACAAGGATAGAATATTTTCTATTACAGAATAAATAACACAGTAAAAATAAAACAGTAGTCCCAGACATTGATGAGTGATGGTTTCATGTTGTGGCTCTGTTCTTGTTTTATAGCCTGTTAAATCCAGCTCATCGTTTCTTATTTTTATCAAGACTCCGCCCAGTGTTGTGGTGTTGTGTGAGTACATTGGAGTAGGTTGATGGTAGCTTTAAGAGTGCCTCTTTTTAACAGGAAAAATACGAGGGGGAATGACGGAACAATACCCACAGTGAACTTAATCCACGTTTTTCCTCTTTCTTCTGCTTTTTACGTTTTCTAGAGATCGTAAATTCTATGAGTAGAGGAAGGAAGCAAATCAACATGACGCCAATGAAACAAAATGAAGAGGAGGAGGGGGAGAAGAGCTCTTCCTCTTGTGTCTATCCAACCACCGATTCATCCCTCCGTCTATTAACCTGGTCAAAGACAAGACACACAAGTCCTCTTTTCCAAGCATGCTTCCGTGGGCAATATCACTGTCTCACCTTACTCTTACTCATCATCATCGTCATCGTCGTCGTCGACTTCCCTTATCGACATGTCACACCAGTCGAACTGTTACAAACATGTTATCTGTAAAGAAATTGCAATAGATGATTGTAAAAAAAAAGTGCTGTTTTGTGCATCGTGTGTAAAAAAAAAAAAAAAAAAAAGCCATGTATGTTTTCAGCTGTAGCTATCGTTGTATTTGTTGCATATCTCTTGTTAAAGTTAGTGCGATATGTATCACAAACTCAAGCCGTATAGACAGAAAAACCTCCAAAAATGACACGAAACCCCTGAGCCCTTTGAGTATTTAAGATGTGAATCCAGAGAGGCTTTTAGTGAATGTGTTGTGGCTGTAAACAAAAAGAAGAAGCTGTTCTATGTATAAGTTAACCCTTTAAATATAAAGTATGTAACTTGTTCATGTAAATAGTATATATAGACGAAATACATGATATGATGATGACAAGAAATGATCAGTTTGAAATCTATTTCATACTACATCAGTATGATTCTTCTTCCCTATTTCTCTGGAGATGTTAATATTACTACGTTACTGTAATGGTGAAAGTGTGGATTGTTGGATTGTCGGCTTGTCTGTCTGTGTTGCGTACAGTGCAGTTCAGTCGAGCTAGTGTCGCAGAGACAAACTCAGTGTTAACGATTAAAAAAATATTCAGCACTTCTAACATCCAATCAAAAAGACCTTTAGTACTTATATCGGGGGTTCTTCATTAGAACTTTGTGTCGGCAGGTGTGCATGTGAGGAGAACTAACTGCTGTATGTGTTCAGAGTGTGTGTGCTGGTACTTTTGAACGTTAGCATGTGTCTGTATGTGTGAGATTCCAGGTTTAGACAGTCAGTGGTTAATTTGTGGGGTTTTTTCTCATGTCGTGTGTTCAGTGCTTATCGTCCAAAGTTCTTGTTTTGTTCTGATCATTGAAAATGTATGCTGTGTGTGTAAATATATATCAACAACATGCAGATCTATTATTGCAATAAAAAGCACAGATGCACATGAAAAATAAACCGCTCTTTTCTTATTTATTTATTGATCGATGGATATGAAGCGCTGCATGACAGTTAAATGGTAAATGGACTTGAGCTTGTATAGTGCTTTTCTAGTCTTCTGACTACTCAAAGCGCTTTTACACCGCATGTCACACTACCATTCACACACTGATGGCAGAGGCTTCTATGTAAAGTGACCATCAGAAGTAACATAACCCATTCATACACATCATACGCTGCTGCTGATGAAGCAGCGGGAGCAATTCGGGGTTAAGTGTCTTGCCCAAGGACACATTCAACATACTGCTGCAGGAGCTGGGGATCGAACCCCAAACCTTCCAGTTGAGAGATGACCGGCTCTACTGCTGATCCACAACTGCCCAATTATGAGGTATGTATCTAATAATGGAGTTGAAGTGACTTTCAATGATCCTTTACCTTATGACCCTACTTCATCTAAAATGGAAAATTGGTCCTTTTACTTAAATACATTTCTCAGATAGCTGTTAGGGAAGAAATTACATATTCAAATTTCAAACTACATAATTAGTTTATACAACTTGAGTAAGATTCTATGGATTAAATCAATCAAAATATTTACAATATCAAAAATGAGCTTCACCTAGCCAATTCATAATAAGGTAATATTGTGTGTAATGGTGTAATTGTCTCTAGTTGATTATAAAGAAATTATATGAGTTTATGTTGGCATTGTTATCTTGTTATTAACAGAGATCTGAATCCCCTCCATAGATGGTTATTAAAGATATCAAAATAGTGTTACACACTCATCACAACAAACACACCGATTTTAACATTTTGGGGGGGATATCAAATCAACAAAATGATCTGCTTGCAACATGAGGTTTTGTAAAAAAAAAAAAAAGGCTCAAAATAGCTCTAACTATAACAGAAAAAAATCCACTTTCTCGTAATTGAAAAAAACAAAATAATGAATGCTTTGTTTTTTTTTACATTTTGATACACATGATTGTTGACTTATTTACTTAGTTTTTAATCACTTGAAAGCAAAGCTTCCACATGTAAATGTCAACATTTAACTCCCTATGTCACTGCAGTTGTTATTTGGCATTGAAACCCTGTATTTAGAAATAATAGGCTATCAAAACGTAAAACATTCCAGAATATAGTTTTTTTTGTGTTTTACTTCAGGTTATGTTTGAACGTAGCCTATCTCATTAACACATATTGAAACATGGAATTGCAGATTTTTTATTTGACACTGAAACACAACACCATTTGAACGGATGTGACTAACTATTAAAACAGTTAGCATTCGCTTTTTTTATTTTTTTTATTTTATTAAACATTTCATGCAAATGTACAAATGTAAAAAACAAATACCAAATATGGTAACATTAACATCTTACATTTGCACAGAATTGCCAAGGGAAACAGCTGCCATGTCAATAATTAACAGCACATCATTTTAAAATATAGAAATGAAATGACAATGTCTTCAAGTGCAATTCATGAGGTCTGAACTGAATATAAGAAAAAATAAATAAATAAGATAAGATAAATAATGAATCAAATATACAAGGGCATATCAGTTTTCAGTTTCTAATTCATTGGGAAAGTTTCTTCAAAATATCACAAACTGTTTGTGCTATTTTTCCTTTTACCAATGCATTAACTTATTTACATATCCACCTGTGAGCATTAACATCTCTTTGGAGTTGTGTTTTTGAAATGTAATTTATTTATTTTTAGTTTGCCTCAATTTTGAGTCTTGTTTAGAAAATGAAAAACAAAAAAAAAACAGTTAGGTATAACTGCTTATAGCCTAAGCCTATATAGACAGAGTAACAACTCTCTGAACTTTTAAGATAATCTTATGACGACCTATCTCACATTGCTGTGACTAAAATATAGGACGCCAAAAGACGTCTTAAGTTTTAAGTTTAAAGTATCATACAATTACGATATAGCCTAATTAAATTATCACCAAACTATATCACCCTGAATAATTTTAACTATAGGCTATGGCACCATATTTGATTAGATATTAAGTGGCTCTGCACCCGAAAATATTAACTGTAATTTCCCCTATGAAATGGAGTAGATCAAAGAAAGTATAAAGATGACGCATTTATTCCATTTACCCTGAAATACAAACAACATTGATAACTATAACGCATTTAGTTTCCCACAAAAATGTTTGTGAATATTATTGTCAATAACTCCACCGTTTACAAATGTTGCTGAGGAAACGCAGAGAGCCCCCCCCCTTTAGTTCACTCGTCTTACGCAACCATCACTGCAGTCCTCGCATTTGGCCGGTAGAGGGCGCTGTGGAGCTTGTTGGTGAATGCTCCTAGAGCTGCTCCTGACCCGCATTCACCCGTACTGTACAGGCAGGCGGGAGGGGGGGGGGAGGAGGACTGAGCAGCAGCACAGAAAGCAAATAAACGTTGTAGAGTTCTCCTGCAGACCGTGGCCATGGCTTGGCAGTCCCTGGCAGACACGGCGCTCCCGTCTCCTCACACTTGATAGCGGACTGAGAGAGGAGGCAGCACCGGGGGAGAGAGCCACGCCGTATCAGACGGTAAAACCAGCAGGACTCGCTTTTATTTTCAGCGTGTTTGTTCTGCTTTTTCTTCACGTGTTAATCCGGCTGTTCCTTGTTCAACTGGGCTTTATGTTGACGGCAAGAGGAGGCGGGTTTCTTCCACAAGTCGAGCATTGGTGAGTTTGTCTTTTTTTTTTTTTTTTTTTTTTTTTTTTTTAATGGAGAAATACAGCGGTGGTTCCTTTATGAGCCGGCGGTACAAAGCGAGTGCTGTCCTCACGTCAACCCGGGCGCTGCGCCGCCTGCCTGCCTGCCTGCCTGCCTGCCTACTGTACTGTACCCATAGATTAATGTAAAGACATGCAGTGTGACTGTGTGTACCTCTGCGTGCCATCTGAGAAAGTGGTCCGCATGACTGCCATGTGCTTCTTTTCCTGTGGTTATGTTCAGGGGACCTGGGTCAGGGCTAAGTTCACGGTTAAGGTTGAAGCTATATGATCATCGCAATAAGAAACTTGTTAACCTACACCCTTGCGATATACTATGGCTGTACAGTCTGGACCATCCGTGACAGATGATACCTAAGAAGGAACAGAGAAAGAGCTTTGTGTGTGCAAAGATGTACTCTATATTTACAGTCGCCTTTATATTTCTATACGTGGCCCTTGCCAATCTGCGATTTACTGCGCAGCCACTGTCCACATTCCTATGCTGTGACATATGTAGGGTTGTGTGCAGAAAACTGTGCCAAACTGTGCTTAAAGTGCTCCTGGAGACTTGACATAAATAATGCATGTGTGCACAAGACAGCATGAAATATGAAATGTTGTTCTCAACCTATAGCTGCTCCTGCAGGCAGAGGCGTGGTCTACATGTTTGATATTGTGAATTGAGCTGCACATATTCCTATACTGGTCTTGGTGTTGTGTGTGTGTGTGTGTGTGTGTGTGTGTGTGTGTGTGGTTAAGATAAGGAAGGTGTTGAAAAGAATGTGATTCAAGAATGAGGGACGCATCATATGACGATTTCTGGACCAATCAGACATCATTTAATGAGACATTTCAGGCTTTTAGCTGCAGATCAGGATCTATAGTTTGACCTGCGCAGACTTAGATGAGTGTGCAGGTGTTAGAGTGACTATGAGAAGCAAGTTCTTTATATTATCTGTCAAAAATAATTTCACGTCACCTTTGACCCACATTTATGCATTTATTTTTTTGGCCGAAATCTCCACAGAGGAAAATAAATCCAGTGTGCACATCATATTTTCAGATCGCTGAGTGGAAACTAAAACTCTCATATAACCTTAGCAAGGTGTAAAACAATGAATGAATGTGGAACTATAAGAGATATTTCCCTTGAGTGCAGAAGACGGGCCTCCATGAAATTACACTTGTGTTGTTTACAACAGTTTCCCCCAGTCACCCAGTTATGAGTTAGGAAGCAAGCGGTTTTTATTAGTTTCCAGCAGCCTCTCAAAGATGTATTGCTATTCATGAGAGTTTCCATCAGTCTCGTTTCCTTTAAAGAAGGAAATAATACTCTGTACTCAATAAATCCTTTGAAGGTAAATCATGCTAAAAGTAGAATTAATAAGTGTTACAGGTGTATGCCGTGGTCAGTGTTTTACCATAATATAATCATAAAAGGGGTTAATAATATATATTTCTCTAACATGTGTAACTCCTCTTTAAGAATCGCTCTGTACATGTATGTACATATACAAACATACAAAGCCATAATCTCTGCCTACAGCCAGACGTGACCTCTTTTGACGTCCGTTCCTATCCCAACGCCCTCCCCCCTCCCCTTCCATTCCCATAGCTCATTGCTGCGAGGCAGCGTCCTGGTTTTCTGAGGTTGAGGCTTAATGTATAGCGAGCAGGCGGAGGGGGGGGGGGTAGCGAGGGGAGGTGGGCTGTGCGAGGAAGGGGGAGGGGGAGACGCAGGAAAGGAAAAACCTGTCTCTCTCCTTCCCTCGCCTGCTTCAGTCTGAGGGAAACCGGTTACATAACAGGGGCCGTGGAGGCAGCCTCTGCCCCAGTCCCCGAGGTCCCTCCGCCTACTTGCATCACAGATGTATAGACTAAGGGGGAGGGACTTAAAGTCAGCTAATCATTCAGCCAGTTAAGAAAAATATCAGTTTGTACTTTTATTCAAATTATAACTGCGACCAGCAAATTTCATTGTATGCTGTTTTCTTGAACCCTTCATGCATGAACAATTGATTTAAAACCATTACATTATTTTATACCTATGACGTATTTAACCACAGCAACTTAGAAATACAATGATGTAATACATACATGTTGTAAACAGGATTCACGTCAAAGGCTTGTTTAGAAGAAAGACAAGTCACAATAAACATAGCTAGCTAGACATAACAAGCTAGGTTATTAAAGGAAGTAAGTGCACCATTTTCCACAATAGAGGAGATATCAATGTGATATAAATGTCTGTCTGAATCATGACCGTCTGCGATGAG